TTTTTTTTTTTTTTTTTTTTTTTCGAATGAAAAACAAGGAGCATAATTTTTACTTAAGGACACCCAGTGTGCCTCAGACTGTTCATTTCTCCAAACAGCTTATCGTCGAAGCTCAAATGACGCCGGGTGAATTCCTTTCAAAGGTTGAATTGTTTTACCTCGACTGAGATTTCTAGGAAGTCGTACCAGCATGTAGATCGATCGAGTCGGTTCCATTGTCCAATTTCTTGGAGGCTACGTTTAGTCTCGAATTATTAAAATCATCTAATCTCTCTTCTTGCCTCCTCCGGTAACAGTGATAAGATTCTTCCAAGATACTTATCAAACTTATTAAAAATTCTCTCCTTTTCTCTAAATTTACGGATGTATCTAAAATTTACATGTGTAATTTTCCAACGATTCGATGGATCCATCCTCGAAGTTATTTAAAATATTAAACAGTTTATAAATCGTGCTTCCCATATTTTCAGTGAGCAGCTTCGTATCAGAGATGCAAAATGGCTGCATCGGTGTCACATCGAAGGAGCTGGACTCCTCCGTGAACCTCACCAGAGGTCTGACATCGCACCATACGTCTCTGAGTCATCATCACTCTCATCACAGCCTGCACAGCCCGAATTCTGCGGTTTCCATGCACTCCACAGGCTCCACTCATCATCATCTCGATGAGAAGGGGTCATCACCGACCGGGGCCCTTCACAGCACAACCAACAGTAATCCATCGACACCATCGACACCTTCCACCCCTACAACAGTAGCGGACGGTTCCTCTACGGCGACAGTAACTGGAAATGGAAATACTAACAATGATTCGGCCAGCAAAAAGCCACCGTACAGTTATGTCGCTCTGATCGCCATGGCTATACAACATAGCGCTCAGAAAAGGGCGACTCTGAGCGAGATTTACGCTTACATCACCGCCAGATTTCCGTACTTTCAGAAGAACAAAAAGGGTTGGCAAAATTCTATTAGGCATAATCTATCCTTGAACGAGTGCTTCGTCAAAGTACCACGCGATGGTGGTGGCGAGAGGAAAGGGAACTTTTGGACTCTCGGTTCGTGTTTCTAACCTTTCTCTTTTAAATGTGGAACAATTGTAACAGTTGGATTGCAATACGATGTCCATTTTTAGATCCGCAATACGTGGATATGTTTGAAAATGGTAACTATAGGAGGCGTAGACGTATGAAGCGACCATATAGAAACGCGCCATATAAACCGCTCTTCGGCGACCCTTTCACTCCCACGCACGTCCACCTAGGTCCCAGGAACTTGTTCGGCCCCTCACCACCGTCCTATGCTCCGTCTACGTACACCAGATATGACACCAGGTATCATTAATTATCCCTTCGTCTCTTAAAATCCATCGTTAAAATTTCTATTTACCTGTAATTCCAGTGCTTGGAGTCTTCAACAGTCTCAGCTGCCCTATAGCCATTGTCCATCGGTAAGTGGATCTTTTCTCATCATTTTTTATTGTATTGTGAGGTATGGCCAATAATAATAAAAATTTGGGTTTTTCTCGAAGCTTCAGCCGCAATTGCAACCAATGCAGTCCATGCAGATTCCTAACATGAATGGTTACAGTCAATTAGGCACCTCATTAAGTGAGTCTCTACTTTAATTAGAACATTTTTAATATTCGACTTGGTAAAATGCTTCATGATCAGACAAAGCGTTTCAAGGCAATTACTTGGATGTTCCAGGTGGAACCACGAGTTCCTCAGGTTCGATGACAAGTGGCTCTTTTGGCAGTAGTTTCGCAAGGAGGCACGATGCCGCCATGACTCAAGAAACAGTGCCTACCAGGTGCTATTGGCCTGAAAGTAATTATCCTCAATCTTGGTGTTTCTCTACTCCAATTTATAAATCCAATTATATTCAAATACGATAATATATTATTTTGTGTTATTAATTACTTTTTTTTGTTCATGAAAAGGAAGTAAATGAATCCAAGCATTTTTCTTTCGATTCTAGTGGTGAACGTGAAAGAGGAGCCAGGAACTGTAGCAGTATCCAGTACCAGCGTAGGCAGCGTAGGCGTTCCTTCAGGAATGATGGGCTCTACAACTCCATCAGGTGTTTCTACGACTGGATTTGCACCCATGGAGTTTCAATCGCGGTCCAAGTGCTTCATGTGAATCAATTTATCATCGTTATAAACTGAGCATCTCATAAGAATCTCATAAGGATCATTCTGCGTCCAATTTAAACGACGATCAAATTGATTGATCTACAGATTTCTTCAGAAGTGGTGAATCAGAAAAGCGAAATATTGAAGTATTTCCTTTCACTGATGAAAATTCTATGGGACCTATGGCGGAGGGGATGCTGGAAATGGTCTACAGTGATACTAATTCCGGCCCAGAGGAGTGTGAAAGATTTCTTCCACTTGAAACGAATAAACACTGCAACCCTATCCTCGTGCGTTTTCGACTGCTGCACAGTATTCGATATTTAAACGAGATAAGGGACCGATTCGTGCCTCGTGAATTGGTTTCTCTGAGAGAGGAAATGAATCTGCGAGGAACAAATTTAGAGATAACAATTAACGAGTAGTTTATAAGGCGTATTCGCGAAATAGGAAAGCACTCGAAGATGTTTTCTTTTATATATATTATATAAATAACTAGTAATTGTAGAAGCAAAAGATA